GGATTTTTCAATTATTTTCTTTTTTATTTATATTTTATGCTATTTTAAATCACTTAATATTCTCACACATTCAACTTTATTTTGTTGCTGCTCTTCATAATAACAAATTGTATAAAAGTTAAATATATGAGCACTTTTGTTTCGAAAAGTTTCGATCCACTATTTAGAGCATGAATTTACAATATTTAAACCATATTTTTTACACAAATATGTGATGAAACACTTTCATGGAATAATAAGGTCTACCATGTAGTTTAGGATTATTTTTTCATGATGATTATAGGAAGATTATGAATTAATATTAATTTTTATGGAATATGTTAAGAACAGTTTTCAAATTCTTCTCTATTCACACACATTTTTTGTAGTAATCCGAACAGATAATATCGAATTACATTGTTAAATTATTGTTAAAAAATATTATTAAATCTAAACAAAAAGCATTGAAAACCCGTTGCCAAATGACATAATAGTAAGTCAATAGTCTGGCATTTGTCAATAAAATTTTTTAAGTAGAAATAGTTATTTATATATATAAAAGGTATAAAAAGTATTAAATGCTATAATATTAAAATTAGTTTAAAAAATTCTTTTAAATGAAAAAATTTATATTTTTTTAATTGTATTTTATTTTTTTTCTGATTTTTAAATTTAAACTCTTCTTATTAAATAATGTAAGGAATGTGGAATTCCTAGAAAAGGGTATTGTTATTCCTGGCTGTTAAAAGGAAAATATGTCGCCGATTTAAATTTTAATCAATTCCGTTATAATAGATAAAAAACTAAAATAAAAATAATGGTAAAATTAAAAAAAAAAATTAAAACCGCGTTTTTTAAACGAAATCAAAAGGCGGAAACAATTTAACTTTAGTCACACCTAAACAAAACACGTGGGTGCGACACTTCTGCAATAAATTGCGATTAAAATCTAAAATTCCTCTTTATATTCCTTCTGTGGGTGCAGCGATGTCAGATGCTCGGTTTTCTGTAAAACATTTTAAGTAGAGAATTAAAACTAAAAATGTACAGACTTTAATCTAAGTTTTGTTAATATTTTGAAGAACTCACTAGGAGATAAATGAACATTGGATATTGTCTTGTTGCTCACTACCAGCCCAAATAGGCTCACATCGATTCATCTGCTGCTATGGTAACAATGATAGGCGATAAAAACGTGAGTTGGAATAATCATTTAATGGATAGGTAAATGAATCACAGTGGTGCAATATATGACCATCCGAATTGTTTATATGGAGTAGTGGGCAAAACAACGTCAGAACGGATTTATTAAATCAGCATTCCTACATTAAAACACAAATTTTGCAACAAATAGAAGAAATTTTCCCCCAAAGAAAGCAAGCTGGTGTAGATGAACCAAGAATAAAATTATTTTCTTCCTTCTAGTCCTATTCAAAAATGTGATTTTAAAATAACTTTTTTCATAGATCTAGTTGCATCAGCAAAAAATCAGTTAACCGTGAAGAAATAATTATTACTGTTAAAATTGTTATGACTTAACTTTAAAATAACAGAAATTCGAAATGTTTAACCGTAAATGTGGCGTAATCCACTCTTCTTCGATTCTTTCAAATTTAGTGGCGTAATCCACTCTTCTTCAATTCTTTAAAATTTAGTGGCGTAATCCACTCTTCTTCAACTCTTTAAAATTTAGTGGCTTAATCCACTCTTCTTCAATTCTTTAAAATTTAGTGGCGTTCTTTAAAAGTAATTTCAAAAGTAGAGTATAAGATATTAGCCCAATAATTATGCACAGTTTAAATTAGTTTAGTTTCTCGGGCATTTACTGAAGAGGAGGAAAAAATATCTAATATTTCGCATTTATTCTTAAGAAAAGTTATTTTTTTTTGTTTCTTATTTTTCAGAATCAATCATGGATACATACTTTATCTTCAAAAATATTTTGTTGAACTGTGCAAAAAAAAAAAANAAAAAAAAAAAAAAAAAAAAAAAAAAAAAAAAAAAAAAAAAAAAAAAAAAAGACGGACTATCCGGCAGAACTTTTGATCTAATGACCGGATCTTCACGTTCTATAGAACTCAATCTTAATGTTTCAAGGGGGGTGACTTCAAATATGCTAAATAATTAGTACAGATGATATTTTAAGTTACAAAATCAGATACAAAAACGTAATTTCTTTGAATAAACATAATTTTTTTTTAACGGATTCGGATTTCTAATCCCCTAAAAATATAAAGGGTAGCCGCAATTTGGGAAATATGGTTCCCATAGTGTGGTCAAGAGAGAGGTCCAAAATTTGTACCCATAAATGTTAATTTTACTTCTTGTATATTTCTCCATATCTCGAGAAATTTTTAAGCGAATCGAAATTTTTTTGCGTGCAATTATACAACTCGTTTATCCAAAGATAATTCCATGTAAAATATAACTTAAAGTAAAATATTCATTATTTTTTATTATTTTATTTTATAGTAGTCGAAGAGATTTTGAATAGTAAGGTACAAAATTTTTAAATTTTTTTTAACATTATTTTAAAGAATGCAATTTTACAAAGCAAAATACAAAATTTGAGCGTAATCAATCGACTAGTTCCTGAGACTTTGCTTTCTCTGGAACCATTCGATCGATTTAGCTATCGATTTTTGTATTTCGCCATTTAAAATTACATCTTTAAATTGATGTAAAAATTTGTATACTTTACAATCTAAAATTTTTTCGACCATTATTAAATAAAATAATAAGAATTAATAAATATTTACTAAAAATTATATGTTACATGGAATTATATTTGGATAAACGAAATTTATAATTGTGTGCGAAAACTTTTCAATTAGCTTGAAAAGTGTTCGAGATATGGAGAAATAAGCAAAAAAATTAATTTAGCATTTAGGGGTCCAAGCTTTTGACCCCTTAATACTAATTTTATCCTATAACTTCTGATCAAACTATGGGGATCATATTTCCCAGATTGAGGCCTCCACTTATATCTTGGGGGTCAGAAATCCAAATCCGTCACAAAAAAAGGCAAGTTCATTCAGAAAAAGTACGTTTTTGTCTCTTATTTCGTAACTTAAAATAACGTCTGCACTAATTAATTGGCATATATGAAATCACTCCCTTGAACCGTTAAGATTGAGTCCTCGAACGTGAAAAGCCGATTATTAGATCAAAAGTTTTACAGGGTGGTCCGTTTTTTATTTTTAAAACTGTTTATGTATACTATACATAATTTTTTAAATTACCATTATTAATTATTGCTGCTGTTTTTCGTGTATTTTTTTATCAAATTTGTTACAAGGGAATGCTTGATGTTTACTGGGAGATTTTACACGGTACAAACTTTTATTTATTGCCATGGGCAAAACTATTCATGCAACCTAGGATATTATAATTTTCAAGCGTTAGTGACGTGATATTTTAACTTTTTCGTAATGGTTTTTCTTATAAACGTTCGTTTTAGCTAAAACATTAATTGCACGTTATCCATTAAAAAATTACTTAGCTATGTGTTAGTCAAAGATTAATACACTTTCTGCTATCATTTCATGGAAAAAGTTATCAGGGTATTTTATAAACATTTGCTTCAGCTATAACATTAATTTCATCTTTACTTTATCCATTAAAAAGAAAAAGTTATGATTGAATTTAGTTCTAAATAAAAAGTTTTATTAAAGCACAGTGTTTTAATTATATATTTTGCCGATCATTTTAAACCAATTTTGAAATTAAGATCTGTATATGAATATTTTTATCTATACTAAATGATGACAAAAAATGTTTTTAAAGTAAGATGAAAAACATTTTTTTTTTCAGAAGACAGTTCTAAAAAGTTGGAGATTTCGAAAAAAGTTATTTTTCAATTTCAAACATTTACTGTATAAAAACACATTAAAAAAAAAAAAAAAAAAACTTTCGCAGCATGAAATTTCAAAATACCAAGCTGAATAAAGAAATTTAAAGTAATTTATCATATTATCCTTTTTTTAAAAGTTGGTAAGTTAAATAAGAAAATTGTTTTTTTCCTTTTCAAAATATTTATATAACATTTTTAAATTATCACAATAAAATCACAGCTAATCATACTAAATTATTTGTTTGAAGCTTAATCAGTGCATTATTAAAATTAATTAAATATATTATATTTACATTGAATATAAATACTGAGATATCCCATACATTAAATTAATATTATTAAGCAAGATCTTTACGAGAAGAGCAGTTAGAAGAAATCAACTTTTTAGTCAAATAATAACTTTTCAGTCAATAACCAGCAAATGACTTTATAGAATTATTAACTTAATTCAATACTGCTTAATGATTTTAATAAAAACTTAGTTTTAACAAGAAGTTTAAAAAAATGAAAAGAGATCGGTTGTATTTTAACACAATTTAGTCCTAAAGGAGGAAAACACACAATACCGGAAGTTCTTTTTTATTCTTTTTCGACCGGCATTTCAAATAAACCGGTATAACATGACTATAACGTTAGAGGAAGACACTGGGAATTTTCATTTAAAAGCAATGAAATTTAAAAATTAAAAAGGTTTATTTTTCTTTTATGTTGAGAGCATTTTCTGATTTGAGTTGATAATGGTTTTTAAATTAGTTTATTTAAATTTTACTATCATATAAATGCTTAATTAAAGAAAATATCGCATGTATTTAAAAAGCAATTTAAAATAATATTATTTAGACTGTATATTGTTTTTTTTTTTTTTTAAATGAATGTTATATTATAAGACATAAAAATCAAACCAAACGAAAAGGAAAAAAAGAAAACAATGCTGGAAAACAATACAGAAAACGATAGTGAAAAAGTAATGGAAAAAAAAAACTATGCTAGAATAAATTAATGATACAGAAAACGGTCTGAAAGAAAAAATTATACAGCAACAAATATTTTTTAGAACTAACTAAATAATTTAAATTGTAGACACAATCACAATATAAAAAGATTATATTATTTGTAGAAAGATATATTGTTTATTTTATACCAAAGTAAAGAATAAAGAAAATCTTACCTTTTGAAAGACACAAGATGACTAGAACTTGAAATTATTTTAAACCATGACGGACACTATTTCTGTAAATTCAATGCACGCTAAAAAACATAGTCAAGGAATTCATAACGGGGAATTTCGATTCGTGATAAAATTCGCAAACGATACTTTCGCGAAAAAGAGGAAGTTCATTTTGAGTTAAACAAATCCGTTCGCAAAATGTTTTTCGATAAATTGTCAAAACATAACTGATGGAAAAATGAGATTCAAACTCTCTTTTTTTTTCTTTCTTCACCACAAGAAGTTCCTTATCAAAAGTGATCTGCAATGAATATTTTATTTTCTTACAGGTCAGTGGGTTGTTAAATTATTTCTTTTTTCTTACTGGCAGCAATTGCGTGTGTGTTCAAATGAGCGGAACCACGTTGACTATGTTCTAATGATCGTCCGATTCCTCATTGCGGGGGAAAGTTTAAGGAAAAAACACTTTCACAAATATTTTTTTTTCTTTTCTTCTAATTGTTCTTTTCTTCCGTTTTGAACTATATATCATGAGTTTCCACTTTCTCGTCTGTCAAGGTTAAATATTGGGAAATTCACCTAGATGCCCCTTATATGATGGCTTGTTGTTTGGGAATGGAGGAAAGATGGTTCTTTAATTTCCTCGAATTTAACACTGACACTATTAGAACCAGCCTTCCTGGAGGGATTATACCAAATTATTGCACGATAATGGAATTAGGACTGCGTATGTCAGTGACTCGTTTCACGCAAGCAAAATTTCAAGGGGACGTAGGAGTTATCATTTTAAGGAGGAAAGAGGTTTGGCACATATGCGATATCAGTGATATCGATGCAAGAAGGGGAGAATGACCCAATTTCGAATTACTTTAAATATCAAAATTAAATTAAATTTTAGTACTTTTCGGTACTTTTAATATTTTGCTTTGTACTGTAGATAAAAAAAACTACTAAATGTGTGGATTTGTAGAATATTTGCATATTTGTCAATCCTTCTGAAATTTTTGGAGGATTTTGTTTTTATATTTATATGGTAACACGTTTCAATGTGTTAATACTTGATTATTTGAGAATAGAAGAAATGTGTATTTTTTATATTCTCGAATTTAACGCTGACACTATAAGACTTCCTGGTGAGATTTAGTATTATTACACGATAATGCAATTAAGGGCTTCGTGTGACAGTGACTCGTTTCACGCAAACAAAATCTCAAGAGGGACAAAGGATATATGTCAATATCATTATCATCTTAAAGAGGAAGGAGGCTTGGCACACATCAAAGTAATACAACTTCAAATTGCTTTCAATATCAAATTGAATTTCAATTTAGTATAGCATTTGGTACCTTTTAGATATTTCGTTGCATACAAGTTTAAACAACTACTAAAATATTTTATGGATATACTTGTATACTTATCAAGGCTTCCGAGTTTTTCGGAGTATTTTGCTTTTATATTCAATGTCATAACAAGTTTTAATTCATTAATGGCTGATTGTTTCGGAACAGCGGAAACATGGTTGTTTTTTCCCCCTCTCATTTAACATTGACATTATTAGAGAACGCTTTATTGGGGTAATTGCACGCTAATGATATTAGGAATGCGCGTGAAAGTGACTCGTTTCACGCCAGTAAAATTTCAAGGGGACAAAGGACTTTTTCATGTCACATTCATTTAAAGGAGGAAGAGATTTAGCAAATGATATTTCTGACGCAGTGAAACCACCGGGAAAGACCACCTCTATGTAGTGACCGCCTACGACCATTTTTGGGAGGCACGGGATTTTTTTCCATAGACTTCGTGTTGAAGAAAACCTTTAGGATAGACTACCGAAATCTCTTCCAGAGACGAAGCAAGCCTCTGCGCCAGATGCAGAATACGTCAGATAAGAAAACGTGAATATATATCAAAACAAAAAATATTAACAAAGCAAATAAGTAGATTAAAGTGCATTAAAAATATTTCTGTGAGGCTCTTATTCAGAGAGCTCTTTTTGGCGATCTGCGAAAGAAATCTACAACCCCCTCTTGCAGTCCGAATGCACAAAGGCGATGCCATAAATGATTTATTTTTAGAGTTTAAAGTTAATTTAGAAAAAAAAAGTTATTTCAGAAAAAAATTAAGCATCTCAGACAAACAAGCTTTAAAAGCTAACTAATTTTTGTGATTATAAAACTAAAAGCAAATTTAAACAAAAAAAACTTTATTGTTTATTTATTTGCAATAGTTCTATCTTCAATAATTGACACATTTGTTTTTACACATAATTATATTAGTAGGGATCATTTTTATTAACTCTGAAGTTAATTCATCGATCTGGTTTCATGACGCCAACACATGTTGGCTTTCCGGCACCAAGAAAATGACTCAGTCTAAAATTAAAATCGTTTGCGAAAAATTACGAACCTTCGATAACACTTCGAAGTCAATGATGGAAGTAACTAATGATGTCAATGATGGAGGTAACCTTAAGAACGACCAACCTCCATTAAGGACCATTTTTTGCGAAAAATTACGAACCTTCGATAACACTTCGAAGTCAATGATGGAGGTAACTAATGATGTCAATGATGGAGGTAACCCTAAGAACGACCAACCTCCATTAAGGACCATTTTTTGCGAAAAATTACGAGTTGTTTGCGAAAAATTACGAACCTTCGATAACACTTCGAAGTCAATGATGGAGGTATCTAATGATGTCAATGATGGAGGTAACCCTAAGAACGACCAACCTCCATTAAGGACCATTTTACTGCGTAACAGAGAGTGGTCACTCCCGAAAGGTTTCACTGTATTGTTTAAGGAGGGAGAGTTTAGTTTATAAAATAAATATCAAATTCTATCGGCTGTAGTTTTTATAATTAGTTACAACAGTAAGGTAACATAAAGATTTTATTTCTCCGACAGTTAATTCTCTTCAAACCCGTTGAAATTTACGCGAATTTTCGTTTTTTTCATTCTTAACAAAAGAAATTATTTTGTAAATATTTTGGTGATGAGTGTTGTGGAAGTTGTCCTTTTGATTGCATTAAATTCACATTAAAAGTTTTAATTTCTTGATCAGCGGGCAATAAGTTGAAACTTAAGTAAACTTCTTGTGGTTTGACGATTTCAACAAAATTTTTCAAGACGTTTAAATTAGTTGATTTTAATAATTTTTTTTCTGGTGTGACATTTTTCAGAAAGTGAAATACTTGTGTTCCTCACCATTATTCAATTTAATAGTTCTCTTACAAACATTTTTCTTTCTTTCACAAAAAAATAAATAAATAAATAAATAAAATAAAATAAAATAAAATAAAATAAAATAAAATAAAATAAAAATAAAAAATGAATAAGTAAATAAAATCTACTAATGAAACTTTTCAAAAGCATTCAATTTATTACATCATTAATTTTATGATTTACATTTCAATTCCAAAATATGAAATATCTTTTCTGTCTCCTGTCTCTTTGCCATTTCCATCATTGTGAAAGTAAATTTTCATTGTAATTACAAAATAATAATGCTTATACAATGTACATACGTTAAACAATAAGTAAATAAATATTGTACAATTAACATACATTAAATAATATTAAAAATAGATAAATATGTATTGAACAGTCGGGAAAAAAAACAGATCAATCTTACAACTTTTGAGTGGTTGTTCGGACATTCGTTCTTTTAAGTGCTTTGGCAATATCTCATATCTTAAAGAAATGTATCAAAATATGTATAACAGTTAACTGGAACCGGGGTGGAATATGCTTCTTTTCACCAAAAACGCACTTTTTCTGAAGAAACAGACATTTTTCTCATCAAATTCGAATTTATTACATCCGAAATATGGGGAAGTTGAAGTTTTTAAAAGCTGACTTTTATAGTTTAAACGCTATAACGGTTCAAACTTTTGTTATTTTAATCTGTCACATTCGTCACCGTAACTTTTGAATGATATTATCTTTGAAAGATATAATTAGTATTATATGATACTAGGAGGCTTCGCCCCCTGCTCGCTGGCGCTCACCAACCCCCAGAACTGCTTTCGCAATTCATTTCGGATTGCTTCGCAATCCAATGCTCGATTCGCTCGCTCATTGGATACGTTCTTAACGTCTAGTTTTTGTATACTTTTTTGAATACTGAAGTTCCGAAAACTTTTCACTGCAGAAAACTCTAAACCTGTACATTTCAATATTAATTTGAAATTGCGAACAGTTCACATATTTTTCTTAATCACACTATTCTAAATTTCAGTTGTTGAGAAAAGTAACTGTTGTAAGTTTTGTTTTAAAGTCTTTCCCACCA